AAAGCATATAAACTAATTAAATCTCTTTATGGTCTTAAACAAGCATCAAAACAGTGGCATGAAAAGTTTGATTCTATTATTTTATCTTATGGTTTCAAACATAAGTGTTGATAAGTGTATTTATTCTACATTCACTGATAAATATGGTATACTTATTTGCTTGTATGTCGGTGACATGTTAATATTCGGCACTAACATGTTTGGCATAAATGAGACAAAATAGTATCTACCTTCTATGTTTAAAATGAAAGATTTAGGAGAAGCAGATACTATTTTAGGGATTAAAGTTAGAAAATATAGTGAGAGTTTTTCTTTAAGCCAATCACATTATATTGAAAAGATATTGAACAAATTTAATCATATTGGTTTTAAAGAAGTTAACACTCCATTTGATTCCAGTGTCAAACCGATTGCCAATTCTTGTAGAACTATAGCACAGCTTGAATATGCTAGCGTGATTGGTTCTTTAATGTATACTATGCATTGTATTAGATATGATATTGTATTTGTTGTATGCAAATCAAGTAGATGAACTAGTAATCCAACTGTAGAACATTGGAAAAGCATTTCCAGAATTTTTAGATATTTAAAGAAAACCAAATATTTTTGTTTGTTTTATAATGATTATCCGGTTGTATTAGAAGGATAAACTGATGCAAGTTGGATGACTAATGTAGGAGACAACCAATCCATTTCTGGAATGATTTTTACACTTGGTGGAGGAGCAATTTCTTGGGCGAGAAAAAAACAAACATGTATCTCACACTCCACCATGGAATCTGAATTCATTGCTTTTAGCAGCAACTGATAAAGAGACTGAATGGATTAGAAATTTATTGCTAGATATTAAGTTATGGCCTAGTCTAATACCTCCTATGTCTATCCATTGTAATACTCAAGCCACTTTGCCAAGGGCTTATAATTGCATGTATATATAATGGTAAGTTTGGACACATAAGTCTAAGACATGAATATGTGAGACAATTGATACAAGATAGCGTCATAACATTTGTCTATGTTAAGACAAATAAAAACTTGGTTGATCCATCGACGAAACCTCTAGCAAGAGAGGTAGTAAGGATGACATCATGTGAAATGGGGCTGAAACCTTGTATTTAATATCACTAGGAATGGTAACCCGACTATTTACTAGAATTGAATTGGTTTAAAGGTTTAAATTGTTGTGTGCGGCGGAAGTTTCGAGGCAACACGAACAATAACTCGAGATAAATCACAACCAATAAGCAAATCATAATCATAGCAAGAACAACGAGTTTAACGTGCTTCGACAAGTTACCTACGTCCACGGGGCAAGGAAGGGGAAGTTCTTACTATTAGAAATCAAGAGAATACAAATAGAGTTACAAATCTCACCGATCAAACCCTAAAACAAAACTCTAGATCTCTCACAAATCTCCCACAATTGGATGCAGCAATTCTTTCCAAAAGACTGCTAAAAAAATGTCATTGCTTAACCCTAACTAATTACAATTAGAGTTATATATCAGCTCTTAAACGAACCAGGTCAAAAACCAAACTCAGCCCAAAAAAATATCTGCGGTCGATCGCGACGGTCGACCGAACCAAAAACCCGAGAGCAGAATCGATTACAGTCATGGCACGATCGACTGTGGCGGTAGACCGAATCTTATCCCGAGACCAAAAATCACCTACAGGATCATCGTTGACTCGCGGTCGACCGCCAGTCTGCCTGGTCGATTCTCTTGAACTTCCTGCTGCTTTTCTCGCCACTTCTTCATAAATGGGTAAAAATAATTTTCTGAAAGTGATCGATTGCTATTGACGCGTTAAGTCCTAAAAGATAATATCAATATCGTCCATTACGAAATAAGAGGATGAGTTGTGTTATTAATGAAAGTCTAATACATTATTGTTGTGTGTTGATTGTTGTGTGTTTTAAGTAATGGAGAACACATTTTAGACGTTTCACCTATCTGAACTTAGAAGTGATGTCGCTTCTTAAAAGAGCTAAAGCTTTGCTCTTTAAAGAGTTCATGAACAGGGAATAAGTACAAAGCCATAATAGCGCTAAAATATTAACTCTCACTAAAACAAGAGATTAGTGTATTTACAATATTCTTCGGTTCTATCACAAAGAGTAATTAGTTTAATGCTAATGCAACTAAGGACTTTGATAGAACTTTGAAGTGTTTGTACTAAGTAAATGTTTAAATTGAAAGATACCTCTGCATATGTATACTTGTCTTTTTTTGTACATATTGCATATTATTTTTAAATAAATATTTTTTTAAACTTTTTTTTTCCAAACAAAGTGGGATATTGTTAGTATTTGCTTGTAAAAACAATAGAGTTCCACACCGGATATTTGAGCATTCTTTTAGAGGTTTAAAAGCATTTAATGATTATTATGATTTGATAAATGGGTCAAATCATAGACTTCTAAACCCGCGTGCGGGTAGCGGGAATAATGTGCGGTTTTTAAATTTTTGAATTTTCAAAATGTCAACAGACAAGTGACTGTTGGAAGAAGACTTTTGAAAAGTGTCTGTTTTTTTCAAAGGGTTGTTTTGAAAAGTTATGACTATTGGAAACACATTTTCAAACCTATAAATAGTTTATGATTTCAAACATCTAAATTTACTTCTTTTTCAAAACTTTTCTCTAAAAAATATCTGCAATACTACAAACTTGTTTCACAACAAATTAGTGGAAATCTTTAGATTTGCTTGCTGAAATTTTCATTTTTTGTTGTATCCTGGAAAGAAAATTTACATTAACCTGAAACAATGGGGAAATTATTTCTTTAAGGAAAATGTTTTATGCTTTAGAAATTCTCTCTCCTTCATTATTTTACTAACAATATGATCTTGTAATCCTGCACATTAGAGAGACTTATAGGTCGAAAATTAGTAATCTTCTTGGGGTCCTTTATCTCAGGCAAAAGTATGATATTTGTATTATTTAATAGCCGATGCATATTTCATGAATTGAAAAAAATCATGGACTGTGATGTAGAACACACGACAAACATGTTTATGTCAAAGTGGGATAGTCGTAAGCTCAAACGCGGGCCCGGTCGATGAAAATAACTTGCTACGAAAAAACGGTCATAACTTTCAAACTGTACGTCGGAATTGGACGAATTATATAAAAAAATCGACTATCTCGACGAGACGGAGCCAACCAAACCATCCCGTAAGGGTTCGGTTTGTTTCCTCCGTTTTGCCAAATTTCATTACGGTTTGAGAGATATCTGTATTTTTGTCCGATTTTTACTATTTTTAGTAATGTTTTAGTAGTTTGTATTGATTAGGAAACAAATCCAATTTAATCTCAGATTTGACCGGTGGACTTTCCTAGTCATAACATAAGTAGTCTTTTTAGGAGTTTTAATGTTTTATGAATTCTTTTACTATTTTTGGTAAAGTTTGAGTCGTTGTAGTAGTTTGAGTCTTTGTAGAAGTCTTGTTTCTTTTTCTATTTAAGTAGAGTTTTGTAAGCCCTAGAGACATAACTTTTAATTAATAAAATTTTATTTTTTTTTCTTCAATATTTACTTCGTGGATTCGAAGCTCTTCGTGGATTCGAAGATTGTCCTTAATGGATTCCAAGACTACTACTTCTACGCTACGTCAGACTGTCCCTACAACATCATCAGCCACCATATCCCAATATCGTTGGAAGAAAAATGCAGGCATGCCCATTAAAACAAAAGGAACTGTAGATACTTGTATCCGTCAAAGTTGAAGGTATATCCAGTGTATTTTTGTCCTTAGCTGACAAAATTAGAGACAAATAAAGAATATTCAACTCTGCATAGTGCATATTATACTTGTATTTTCTAATACCAACTTGTAGAAAGTTGCCCTCTCTCCATGCTTGTATCTATAATAAGAAAACAAACACACCCCTAGGCATCCAAATCCATGCCTCAACTTGCAAATATAATGTTTACAATATTGTAAAAGGAAAAAAAAAATGCTTGTCTGATGCGTCATTAACACCCTTAAACAAAGTTTTAGTCTAAACCTCCATTTAATCATGATCCTCGCAGATCACGTGCACCATCACATGTTCATTTCTTTATTCATTTGGGTAATTATCACTAAACCCCTGATTTTTTTTGCGTATTTTGCGCAGTTCCTGAACTTAAAAGCTAGAGAAAATGCCTCCAACTTTTGAGAAGTTTGCAAAATCTAATGACCTTCCTAGTTTCACAAGATAAAATTATTTTCCAAACTAACCCCAATCTCATTAAAATCATAAAAATAACTCTCACCTTATTTTTTTTTTTTATTGTTTTTCTTCCATTCTTTCTTTTTTTGACTAATCATAGAATAAAATTTTTGGTTCAAAGCTTAATGAAAATTTTCAAATATTCATGAGGATTCTGTAGAACCCCTTAAAGTGGGTGATATTTCTCCATGGGTTATTTTGTTGGCATAATATATATACTTACAATGACATATGTCGCGATCAAATTTTTATTTCTATCATTTGATTTGCAACAAATATCTTCATGGGTGATAACTATATTTTCAATTTGTAAAAAAACTGCATCAGTTTATGCTGCCAAATTTTATGTATACATTAACTAAAAAGCAAAAAAAAAAACTAAACAACATCATCAAGTTAATGTATTCTAATTGAAAATAAATATGCATTTTCTACTGCAAAATATGGAAATCTAACAACTTTTTCGAAGCAAAAATATAACATATTTTGCAAATAACCAAACATTATATTTTGATTTAGAATTACATCTGAACAGAATACAAACGTATAAATATCCAAATGACAAATTTAATGTCCATTTCCAACAACAAAATATTGCATGTAACATTTTTTTGCTTGCTACAATATTATCTGCAATTATATTTGCAGCGTACCGAAACAGCCTCGATTTCCAAAGTGCATAAATGCTCTATGCAAATGAGCTCAACTTTAGGGGGTTTTCTTAAATTTACCCATTTCTTTATTCTCCTTTTGTTACCATAATAAAACAAAAAACCAAATCCCCCCGCATTTCTTCTCTTTTTTCTCTCTCCCTCTCTCTTGAAGCAACGAAGAATCGAAGCTCATCTCCGCCGTCCGATCCCGTTTCTCTCCGATCTCGTCCGTTCGATTTCTCCTCCACCCTCTTTATCCGATATTAATCTCCGCTGTCAAAGTCGAGAGAGAGAGAGAGAGAGAGAGAGAGAAAGTTGTTGGATAGATCTCCTCCGTTGTTTTCTGCAGAGCTAGGGTTTTGATCTCCTCTCGCCGCTTCCAAAGGTCAGTTCTTTTCATTGAAATGTCTCTCAAACCATCGAATTGAAGCCTGTGCAACCATCAATTAGGTCTCTTTGATCGTTTTATTTAGTTTTTTATGGTGAAAGATTAGGTTTTTAACCGTGTAACAGGGTTTGGCGATGGAGAACGGGGTTGCGGTTGTCAACGGAGACGATAGGGCTTTGAAATTCGAGTCAACGGATTTGGTGGAGGAGTCCAAGGGTTCGGTTAGGGATTCAGAAGGGAATTTGAAATTGGAGTCGACGGATAATGGATTGAATGGTTTAGAGGAGGATTCGGTCGAGGAGTCGAAGGGGTCGGTTAGGGGTTCGGAAGAGAATGACGAGTTTGAGGAGGCGGAGCTCGATCGAGAGAGCTTCTACACGCCGGCTTATCGACATATGGGTTCGGATTCGCAAGATTTGCAGGAAGCTGATTTTGATTCGGTGGAGAGCGCTGATGGTGTTGATGGTGAGGATGGGGATAATCAAGATCGAGAAGCAAAAGAAGTGGTAGATAGTTCGAATGTTGAAGAACTTGGTTCTGGAAATAAAGAAGAGGTTTTTGATACCAAGTTAAATGGCGTGGAGGTTGATCGTGTAACTCGTGTTGCTGAAGATCAGGAAGAAAAAGAAATGGTAGATGATTTGTGTGCTGTTGAACAAGAGGAGGTTATTCCTGATAAGACCGATGTGCAAGTTAGTGATCAGAGTGGTGAAGATCGAGAAGGAGTTGGTTCTGGAGAGGAGGAAGAAGTTTTTGTTACCAAATTGAATGGTTTAGAGGGTGATGATGTTGTTAAAGAAGGTTCTTTTGGGTCGAAGGATGTTGGAGAGAAAGGTTTCGAAAATGGTGACAAGGAGTTAACTGAGGATAAGCTTGACAATGGGGAGTGCAATGGTACAGTTTCAGATGAAGGGCATAATGTTCTTCATGAGATACTTGAAAATGGTCTCTCTCTTGTGGCTAGCTCAGATGAGATTTGTGTGGGCACTGCATCCAAATCTAAGGAACAAGCTCCTGCTGATGAGATTTGTGTGGAGGCTGTTACGCAATCTGAGGAGCAAACTCATGTAGATGAGAGGGGTGTTGATACTGGTACAAAATCTAAGGAACAAACTCATGTAGATGAGATGGGTGTTGATACTGATGTAAAATTTAAGGAGGAACTTCCTAATGAAAGTGTTAAGCATATGGTTAATGACTCGGTTGAATTGGATTCCACTTATGATGATCAGACAACATATATGCAGCGAGAAGCTGTCCATTCACCGTCACCTCTTTCTGTAACCGCTAATGGGATTACAACAAGGTCGTATGCTTCAGTTGTTAAGGAGAGTACACCTGATGGAAAACTGGAACAAGCCAAGGAAGATGGATCTAGTTGTGACAGCAAGTCTGAAGTGAAAGAAAATTCTATTAAGGATGATGATGACAAAAAGAGTATGAGCAAAGCGTCATCTTCTACTGCTCCTGTGCTTCCAGAAGGTTCTGGAGGCCCATCATTGCCATCTCGTCCTGCTGGCCTCGGAACTTCTGCTCCCTTACTAGAGCCAGGTCCTCGTGCTCTTCAGCAGCCAAGGGCTAATGGAGTTGCTCCTCAGAGACGATCCCAGGCTTCTGAAGAACCTGCTAATGATGATCCGGAAGATAATGATGAGACCCATGAGAAGCTTCAAAAGATTAGAGTCAAGTTCTTGCGACTCACTCACAGGCTTGGGCAAACACCACACAATGTAGTTGTTGCTCAGGTCCTCTACAGACTTGGTTTAGCCGAACAGCTGAGAAGAAACACAAACCGCCCGGGTGTGTTCAGTTTTGATCGAGCCAGTGTTATGGCAGAGCAGCTCGAGTCATCAGGCAGGGAGCCTCTTGATTTCTCGTGCACGATCATGGTCATTGGGAAAACTGGAGCGGGCAAGAGTGCAACCATCAATTCAGTCCTTGATGAAGTCAAGCTTCACACAGACGCATTCCAATCTGCCACTAAGAAGGTCCAGGAAATTGTGGGCACAGTTCAGGGCATCAAGGTTAGGATTATTGATACTCCTGGGCTTTATCCTTCCTTTTCTGACCAATGGCGCAATGAGAAAATTCTTCATTCTGTGAAGAGGTTTATCAGTAAGAGCCCTCCAGATATTGTTCTGTATTTTGATCGGATGGATATGCAGAGTAGGGATTATGGTGATGTACCCCTTTTGAGATCGATTACTGATGTTTTTGGGTCATCTATTTGGTTTAATGCCATTATTGTTCTGACTCATGCTGCTTCGGCTCCACCTGATGGTCCAAATAATACTCCTATGAGTTATGAGATGTTTGTGACTCAGCGATCTCATGTTGTTCAGCAAGCAATAAGGCAAGCTGCTCAGGATTTGAGGCTCATGAATCCTGTATCTTTAGTTGAGAACCACTCAGCTTGCAGGATGAATAGAGCAGGTCAGAGGGTTTTGCCAAATGGGCAGGTTTGGAAACCCCACTTGCTTCTGCTCTCGTTTGCTTCGAAGATATTGGCAGAAGCAAACACGCTACTTCAATTGCAAGACGCTCCGGCTGGAAGGCCTTTTGCTGCTCGTTCAAGAGCTCCTCCTTTGCCTTTCTTTTTGTCTTCTCTCCTTCAGTCGAGGCCACAGCTAAAATTGCCAGAGGAGCAGCTTGGTGATAGTTTTAATGAAGAGGAGGGTTTGGATGAGGCGTCTGATTCTGATGATGGGTCTGATGATTATGATGAATTGCCACCATTCAGGACTCTCAATAAATCACAGTTGGCCAAGCTGAGCAGAGCACAGCAAAAAGCATACTTTGAGGAACTTGATTATAGAGAGAAACTCTTTTTCAGGAAACAGTTAAAGGAGGAAAAGAGGCGTCGAAAGCTAATGAAGAATATGGCAGAAGCTACCAAGGATCTGCCAGTCGACCAAAATGAGAATGTAGAGGAGGAAAACAATGGTCCAGCATCTGTGCCAGTTCCAATGCCCGATTTAGTATTGCCCACCTCTTTTGATTCTGACAATCCTACTCATCGTTATCGGTTTCTAGACACTTCCAACCAATGGATCGTTAGGCCTGTGCTTGAGAACCATGTATGGGATCATGATGTTGGTTATGATGGTCTGAATGTTGAAAGATTACTTGTAATCAAGGATAAAATCCCAGTATCTGTTTCGGGTCAACTCACAAAGGATAAAAAGGACTGCACATTTCAAATGGAGCTCGCCAGTTCGATTAAGCATAGTGATGCAGGAGCCACCTCTTTGGGTTTGGATATGCAAACTGTTGGAAAAGACATGGCTTATACTTTTCGGGGTGAATCAAGAATAAAAAACTTTAGAAGAAATAACACAGCAGTTGGGGGTTCAGTGACTGTTCTTGGGGATTCAGTATCAGCTGGTGCTAAAATAGAAGACAATCTAGTAGTTAATAAAAGGTTGAAATTACTCATGAGCGGTGGTGTTATGGCTGGTCGTGGAGATGTAGCTTATGGAGGTCGGCTTGAGGGTACATTGAGAGATAAAGATTATCCAATTGGTCGAGCTTTGTCTACTCTTGCATTATCAGTTGTGGATTGGCATGGGGATCTAGCAATTGGATGCAATGTCCAGTCCCAGATTCCTTTGGGAAGAGGAACTAATGTTGTTGCCCATGCAAATTTGAATAACAAGGGGACTGGGCAAGTTGGGATTCGGTTAAATAGCTCAGAACAACTCCAGATCGCTCTAGTTGCTCTCGTGCCCTTGTTTAGACATGTCAAGCGAGTACTTTTCGGTTCTTCTCAGACTTTTGATTAGGTTGGAGGCAATAATCAGCTGCTGGAAGTACTTGAACTTATGCTAAAAGCCTGCTGGATGCTACTCCTTTGTTTCTTTGTAAGTTTTTGATACATGTTTCTCTTTTCTAAGTAGTATAAGCTTTCAGATGGTGTTTTCTACACTAGATCTTAGTTAGAAGAGGGAAAGTTTGATGTTCATTTGATGCCTTTGCGGGTATTTTTGTTTTGATTTGTATAACAGCTAAGTAGTTCTATGATTGGCCGCAATGTTGCTCTTGCGTATAGTTTTTTAAGCTCTGGAGAACTTAATATCCTTTATCTTATTGTTGAATACATCTCTTTTATGTGGGAATTATCTATTTCTTCAATCTGATTTACTTGATATTCGCATACATGAACCTTTACATTTCTTTATTACGCGCTATACTATTAGTATTATCTTGAAATATCATGCAGAATCTTTGCTAGTGAAATATTTACACGAAGCCTTTTGTTATATGAGAGTATAGCATATTTAAAATTAGACAGTTAGGAGTTGAGCACATGTTCCGTTAAAAGAATTTCCTTCCTTCCTGATTATCTTTGCTTTATTCGCATACACAAGTCCTTATTGGAGGAATCTCCCTTTTGAAGATTGTCCTTCATTAAGCATATACTCAAAACATAGGTATAATATCTTTTCCGGTTGATTAGAGTATAATAGCGATTGGTGCACTGCTACATGAACGCAATCTTGCTATTTTGGTTTATGCCATGATAGAACTGCAGGCTACTGAACGATGAGATATTCAAAGAAAAGCTCATATATGATCAGGCTACCAAATGATGAGACATGTAAACACAGTAAATTAGGCTTCAGTTATATGCAAGGATAACTAATGCATCATCTACATGGTTTTTTGCCCGAGTAAAATCTTAGGGTTCTGACTTTTCCAGAAAGGAATAAGGGTTAGGTTTCCCAGAATATATTTGGGATTAGATATTGGGTCCAGTTTTGGTGGGATGAGAATTGAATGAAGTGTTTGTTAGGAAATTAGAGGCATGACTAAGTTTTGGAGCCAGTGCGCTGTGTATTCATCAATACGCAAGACTCACTTTGGTGCCAAAACCCAATTCATGAATTTGATTATTGTCGAACGAGTCATTCTCACCAAGGTCATATTTTACTAAACATACTTAGGATTTAGGTTAGGGTCGTACCTTTTTATCTCTATTTACTTCTCGGTATATGTCTTGTAGGATTATTCCTTTCTTATGTTTGTTGTGGGTATGAAGATCAAATTATCAAATCAAATAGAAGTCAAATGACAGAATAGGCAAGTTATAATATAAGAAATTTTGTTAGTCACCGTTCTGTAGTTTGAAGATTACCTTGTATTGGGATCGATAAAATCTTATTTTAGCCCAAGAGTTTGGTTAGTTTTGATTTTGCTGATGACAGGTCCTTTTCAAGAGAGTGCAATTTTTTCAGAGATCATATATATAATGAAGTCCCAGTGTGCATTATTCTTCTCTTCTCTAAAGCACAATTCCTAAGGTTTGAACATAGGCAGCTTTCGAGCTTTGGTTGCTTGCTCAAAGCCATAAGCAATCTCAATCAACTTTGGTTCAGAACCCTTCAGTCCGCCAAAGCAAATACCGAAGGGAACCCCTTTTTCGCCGTATCCTGCAGGGACGCTGATCCCAGGATATCCACCAATTGCGAGAACGCTAGTGAACGTCGCATCGGCTGTCACCACTGCATCCAACTGCTTCTCTATCATCAACCTCTCCAGTCCTTGCTTTGATAGATGTGCCATTTTGGCTATGGCTCGTCGTTCGGTGGGACCCAACCCGCTCGTATTTTGAGCTTCCAGGAATACGGGTTGGCCATATTCTTCTACCCTTTCCTAGAATGAGTTCGCATTGTTGTGAGATTTCGTAACGTATGAGATGATAAATGTTATCATGTGTGCGTGTGTGTGTTTTTTGTTTTGGATTGATGATGGTACATCGATACCGTGTTTGTTATTGAATAGTATAACGTCGAGGAGAGATCTCATGGGTGATAGCGATAGATCGGAGAGGTATGCATTTAGTGATATCTTGAATTCTGCCAGCAATGTGAGTGTCCTCCCGCTTAGATTGTCATCGAGGATGGTGTCCACATTCTCTATTTCGAGATTGTCGACCAGTATGGCTCCTTTCTTCCTTTCAAAATTGTTTGGATCAAGCAAGTTTGAATATAGGCATTTTGCTGATGAAGAATATCGCAAGCGATAGGCATTTACCTCATCACGTCGAAATGCTCCTCAAAAATCTCTCCTTCGATAGATCCACGAGGAAACTCGAGGAACTTGTTTCTCAGAAGCCCTACCCTCTTCCCTCTCAATCCATCGGCCTTAAGGAATTGCCTGTATCCTTCTCGAGGTATGTACTTCAATGCTGCTCCGGTGGCCTCAGCATCCCTCTCGTCGAACCCTACGATCGCCTCCAATACCCGCACTGCATCAGACACTGTTCGACAAATTGGCCTGCAATCGAAAATATCCTATCCTCGTTAAAAATAAGGATTAATTGCAGCTAAGCATTCCGCATTATGATGTTGCGGTCATTCGTCCCTCAAAATAGGTTTAGAAGTAAAGCTAATCAATATTAGTCCCTTAAGTCCCTCGAATCCTAAGGGGACTTGCAATTTGGTCCCTCAATGACCAAAAATACCCCTAAGTTTATGTTTCTCCTGAAACTCGTTTGTGTTCGGAAAAAAAAAAACATTAGCTGATGGGTATTTTGGTCGCCGCGGGATCAGATTGCAACACCCCTTAGGATTTGAGGGACGATGTGAGCAATTTCAATGATTTGAGGGATAATTATCGAATTATCTAGGATTTTGGGGGAGTAGAGTCGGGAATGTTTATACCCGACGGTATCTTGTCTCGGCGATACAGGGATGACCCCAGCCCTGGCTGGTAGTGAGTCCAACCGTAGGCTTAATTCCCACCACTGAATTTGCCGCCGACGGACAAATTATGGACCCGTCGGTCTCCGTCCCCAGCGACGCCGTCACCATATTCGCTGCCACGGCGATCCACAGGGATCGGCTGACAGCACGTAAGGATTCTGTTGGTAGATAAAATGAATGGGAGATTAGAAGGAAATTTTTTATGTCGAATTTTACCGACCGAGTGAATTTAGTAGAGAAACCATCATACTCTCAGTAAAGACTTTCGTTCACACAAGTAGAAGGACTGAAATAGCTCTATTTATAACTGCCAAGCCATCTAAAAGTAATAAATTATATAAACTTAAAAATGAGAGTAAAAAAACGGCTAAACAGTGTATTTATCAAGCGATGACTTTCTCCAACAACAGTTACAGTTATGCCCCTCTTGCAAAATATGTGTTATAGTTTTCTCTAAGAAAAATAAATTTAGACCATTTGTTATCTATACAAAAATAAATTCTAAAATAAATGCTTCTCTCAGTCATGACTTAAAGAGATAATTCGTGTAGGAGACTGCAATAAAAAAAAGTAGCGGAGAGACAACGATATCCATTATAGCTTATTTTAGAGAATGGTCGTGATTTGTCTTGGAGTGCGAGTTAGAGATGAGTTTCAATTCAAGGGGGGGAGTGGTACATGCTAGAAGTAACTACTTTTTGACGGTGAAGAGAATCCAAATGAGCGGTGCTAGAAGTAACTACTTTTTGATAGTGAAGAGAATTCAAATACGCGCAAGTGATGTTAAAGATGCCGCGCATGCCCGTCCTTGCCCTCCGCGCGCGCTCCACCCGTTAGGCGCATCAAACGACCGGAAATGCATCCACTCGCTCATGCTC